TCTCTCTCTCTTTCTCTCTTACTTTTTATACATTGTTAACAAGCCTTTGTCCCTGCTATAACCGATTGGGCTCTGATGATGCCCTGTTATCGCCGATAATTTGTAATAGAGACAAACTTTACAAAGAGTAGGAAAAAACGGGGAATTAAAAAATCCCTGTTATTACCGGGCCTGTTATATATGGTTTCCACTGTATTTATGTTGCAATAAATGTAGAACTTGCAAAAACTTAGTCCAGTTGCGAGCGCCGTAAAACCTTATACTATACATACATACAAAAACTTAGTCAAAACCCCTTCTGTACTATCACATTCAATGCAAATTAAAACCTGGAAATTCAAGCATTTTTCATCATAATAATTTAAATATTTGTATAGCGCATATCCCAGCTCGACAGCAAGATCTATAGGCTTTACACTATATTAGGTCTATTACGCCAGCAGACCATAGGACACTCCGAAACATTCTCAGCTTCCCTGGAAGCATACAGTGCAAACACCTGATTAAGTCCCCCAACACTAACAAACTGACACGACATTTCACTGTACTGTATAGAGCTGGGTCCACCTTCCTAACTGGGTGAAGTGAGCAAAATTCATGTGAAGTGCCTTTCTTAAGGACAACGTCTGGCCCCTGACGGGATTTGAACCCGCGACAGATGCTTTCGAGTCTGAGAGCCTAACTGCTCAGCCACTAAAGCCACTATCATCATTATTACTACCTTACTCACCCTGCAATAGGGTGCAGGCCACGAATAAACACATGTGGGTGGTTGGAGGGCACCACTGGTAGGTTCTACCCTACTTCTTTACTTTCCCCTCTTGTGTTTCTGTCTGCCTGTCTTACTTTATCCCAGCACTAAATGGCCGTTATTGTGTCGGGGTGCTTCTCTTTCTCAAACAAACGAACAAACACTTTCCACCTTCCCTGTCCTTGACTAGCCTCTTTTCTGTACCATTATTCTCTGAGAACTTTCTTTAGGTTCCACGTGGTCTTCCTCTTTTTCTCAGTCTTAGTCTGTGGATTCCAATCCAAACATGTTAAGGTATTTTTTGTGTGGAGAATTTGATCAAATTATACCAAAACACAGTAATAATAGTAATAATTTTATTGTTTTTGCCCTTTCACAAAGAAACATCTTGGGCACCTTCAAAATATCTAACCAAATCAAACTAATAGTAGGGTCTGAAAAAGGTTTTGATGAAATTTTCCGCAATAGCGTCTGTGGTGTAGTGGTAAGGTGCTTCGCTGATGCAGGCAGGAGACCTGTTTGATTCCAGAGCGATGAGAAAATTTGTATCAAGTATCTCAGTTTTTCTGCGGGGATGTTGTTTCCCTCAGAGCTTGGGTTGGCTCTGACCGTGGAAAGACCGTCCCCTATTTGAACTAAATTGTGTCCTCGGAGGCTTAAAAACAGCTGACCC